CGACTCACGTACTCGCTCGACTCAGTTGTCAGTCTCTATCTCTGTCTGCAGTTCAATTACATTGTTGCCGTCACTTCTTGGCCGTCTTATATACAAGAATACCGCATATCCAGTAAACATTCGAGGCTTCAGGTAGGGACATGAACGTTCTAGAAGCTCATGACGTGTTACTTGGGTCACGTGACTTCCGCTGTTGTAACAATATATTTGGTATCTTATTTGGTTATATGAAACCACATAGTGTATCCAAAATTCTAACTCTTTCTTTTTTTTTCTAGTTTATCTTACTCCGAAAGTGTGATTTTGTATGTTTATAAAACAAACAAATTATTTGCTAAAAGCAATGATACCAGATTATAAGTACTGTTATGAAAAAGTATGTAACCAACAATATGGTTAGGGCACTCGACTTGCGATCTACGGATCGTGAATTCGAATCCCCGTCACCGAACCTATTCGCCCTTTCAGCCGTGGGAGTGTTACAACGTAATAGTCAATCCCACTATTCGTCGATAAGAGAGTAGCCCAAGAGTTAGCGGTGGGTGGTGTTGAATAGCTGCCTTCCCTCTAGCCTATCATTGCTAAATTAGGGACAGCTAGCGAAGATATCCCTCGTGTAGCTTTGCGCGAAATGCAAAACAAATCAAACCAAACCTAATATATAAGTATACTATCCTACTCAGAAGCGTAGCTAGTGGGGGAGTCGGGATGAGCGAAAGACCACCCCAATATTCTAAAATGTCCACTATCTTCTGATTTATTTTATTTGAAAAGGCTTACTTAAGACGTTTACAATTCAGCAGCTTACTACTGTGAGATAGCTCAGCTACACTTTGTTTTTGTTCTCTTGAGTTTTAAATACTTTCCTTTTAGGCTAAGGTAAATCACTTAAACTCTTTATGTAGAACAAAAGAACCACATTTTTTGAAAAAAAAACAACAACATCCCCACTCAGTTGTACTGGATACACCCTTGATCCTACCTTGTACTTGTTTTATTTATGTGTTACTTTCAATGAACAAAGGCCTCGTCAGCGTTATTCTGGTTTTCCCATAAATTTCATAAGAATATTAGACAGGTATAAAATCACGTGATCTATTTTACATGTTGACTATTTTAGTTTTGCTTAAATTCAGCCCACGTGAGTATATTCTAAAAATACAGGTGTTAACATGTCTAGATCTGATAACGTGAATTACATGTCCTTGACAAAAAAATAGATAAATATCATAAATCGCGTGACATATATTAGCATAATATTTAACAATTTCGAGAAAAAAAAGTCAGATTTTGCTCAGTCAAAAATCTCTAAAGCTTCTATCGTTGTAAGCTTTAGTGTTAGTGGTGTCGTTGCATCAATTTAAAGACAGGCCCTACACACAATGGTACGGCTCAAAAGCTGACGTGGGGAAACCGCGTGATTTAATGGTTAGACCACCCAGCACGAGAAGTCCCGCTCTTTTTGCCTTGCCGCCTCTGGGGAGCCCGACAGTTCGGTCAGCCAATGAGCAGTAGATCTTCACCTCTGTCTGTGGCTTACGTTGTAAACAACTATTCTACAACACTGAGATTACATGAATAAATTAAACATATTATGAGTGTATTTTCCATCTTATTCGATTGTGTTATTTGTGGTGCCATGTTTTACACTAATTTTGTAAACTTCCTACCATTACATAGGATATGTTGTTGTTAATTGTTAAAAACCTTTGATGAAAAGTATGGATAAGAATTAAATTATTTAAAAAGTAACTTATAAGTTATGAAAATAAATCTACATAACAACGAGCTGTAAATAACTTATCATGTAAATCAATACACATGAAAACTAAAACTTTTAATGTTTAAAATATTATTGTAAATTAGATAACTGTTAACAACAATACGGGCCGCGATCCTAATAATATCTTACGTAGTTAATACGCTTTAGATTAGTCTTAAATGCGTAAGATTTAATAAAATGAACTCTAAAGAAAAGAAAATAGTTTATTGCCTAAAAAAAGGCATAAAACTCTAGTCTTTTGCTGTTAAAATACAATAAGCCTGAATTTACTTAATAGCTTTAGTGAATGTCACAAAACGGGCTAAAATCCATCAACAAAATTGTACTTTTCACAAGACCGGATAATTTTCGGACTGATGCGGTATATTAACTTTCGATCAGAGCAAGCTACCTACTTAGGCCTAACCAAAAATCAACCTGGTATTGTGTGTTAAATAACTTTTTATTTCTAATAAAGCTTATAATTCACCGTTTCAACAGTTTGCCTTTGGTACCCTCGCTATTACCAATACTTAATGTCGTAAATTGCCCGCTGTAAGTTGTTTTCCATTCAGGCCAACTGTATGGAAACTTGATAATCTTCAAGTTATAATTAAATATCTGCTACTCGTCACAGTTGCATGTGTGACATTTGAACTTCAAAACGCATGAGGGCGTTTAGTGATAATATTTTGTTTATAGTGTCTTTAATAGTTTAATATAAACTTACAATACTCATGTGGATGATTGCAATTTAAGTTCTTCCAGGTGCTTTGACATTTCAAAGTTTTTCTTCAACCACACAATGACATAGCCCCAAGTCTTGATGTTATTTGGACTGGACAGGCATTCATTCTTTCTCCGCATTATTTTCCTGATGGTGAAGTGTGTTTTTAATTCAAACCGCTGATAGCATATATTTCGGCTACATTGAGAAGTTCCCCTACGTTAGCCACAGCGTCCCCGCGACGTGTGTGGTCTTCTCCACTTTAGCGAACCGTTGCTTGGCAACTAATGCAAGGTTCGCTGTTACGAGAGGAGCTAGAAAGCCACGAGCCAATCGAAGCGTCCCTGTGGGTCTCATCCATCTTGAATCAAGGCTCGGCAAAGGCGGAGCGTTCCATGCAAATTGTCAGTGGAGGCTTTTCAACTCCTTAGCCAATGGTTTCCAACGTGATAGTGTTTGGTGTAGAACGTCGCTCTTGTTCTTGATCATCACGATTTATGAAGCCTAGAATATGGATAGCTGGTTCTAATCCAGCCTTCAGACCGGCAGAGGTTAGTATGATGTTGTAAGAGTTTTAATTTAGACCGAGAAACGTGGTTGTGTAGTGTGCGTGTTTTTGTATATGTGTGTTGCGTCGAACTAAGGCCGCGAGCGTTCCGCTCAACATGGCCCCTGTGCCACCATGATCCAAATGAAACCTACGTTCACCTCGTTACAGGGAACGACTGTTCCGCAAAAAAGGACACATCGCCAACCAGACATTGCCCTTCTCACCAGAACCAGCTGGACAGATGCAAGAACAGCACTCTCTCAGATCAATAAGGTAATTTTTCCCGTAAATTAAATAGCTGACTTGGTCCTACTACTTGAGTTACCACCATTGTGTTAAGCCTGAAATCTCTATGTGTATGTTTTTATTTTCGTATTTAAAGTTAAACCAAGTTCCTGTTTATCGTGTACGCAAATTAATAAAGTATAATTTTTGTTGGAAGTTAAAAACGTTATCTATATGTAAAAAAAAAAAAGCGATAGCTGATAATGCACTGAAGTTACGCAATTTTTATGAGTTTTTTTTAAGAATTACGAAATCATGGCTTTGTTTACATTACATAAACATACGATACTCAACAGTTTGTTAAATTTAAATTAAATAATACTTTTTAAAACTGGCTTTAACAATATTGTAACAGTAGCATTTGATGGAATTTGTAATAAATATATAATTATAACACGGGAATTCATAACTCGAGTTTCTTTCACGGATTTAATACTTAATATAATATTTATTAAGCCTTAGATTCAAATGTAAAGAGCTCGTAATAAATAGTGTATGTGATTGAAAGGAGTTAGGTGTGTATCTGAGAAACAAAAGGAAGTACCAAGTATGACGAAACTTTTTTTAATATCTAGCCTCTTTTGCAATATCTACTATATTAAATACTACAAAGTTCATTTTGACACAACAAAGAATGTTCTGTGTTCTTGAGAAGTATCATACTTCCTCTGAAACGTCATCCACGAACAATAATTGTATAGCAAAATCTTTTTTTCATTTAACGATTTTATCTGATCACAATTTTGAGGAAATTTAAACCGTGTGGATGGCCCTACATTTTGTGAAATTTAAAGTGTCAAGTTAGATATCACATTGTATTAATAATGTGAAATCTAAAGTATCGGTTAACATTGGGACTTAATCAATCATTTTTTTTTTCCAGGGTAAAGCATCGGGAAATAAGACAGCTCTGTGGCTGCGAACTAAGCTGCAAGTACACTTGTTCCAGCTGGGGTGTTTTATACAGAAAAATGCTGGGAAAGTGTTATTTGTGGGACTACTTGTGTTTTCTTCATTCTGTGTGGGACTCAAGTCAGCAAGTATGCAAACAGATGTTGAAAAATTATGGGTGGAAGGTAAGTTAGGACTTTTGTTATAACACCATTAACAGTCGACTATTTAAAATTGAATTTTTAGATGTGGTAATTTGTGTTTAAACCTTATATTCTACCATATATATTTCAGTATGCGGATACCAGTTTTTCTTCTGTTATATTTTGTTCAACCATTAGATGGGCATGTGTATATGATTCTGTTATGCCTTCCCAATAGAATAACATTTACAAATATTATCGGCATCGTCTGATTAAAAAGAAAAATAAATCAGTGGCACAGTGGTATGTCTGCGAACTTATACTACTAGAATCCGGGTTTCGATACCCGTGGTGGGAAGAGTTTTGTACTTAATAACAAACAACAACATAAAAAGTCTTCCAAAACCTCGAGAACGATATTTCGTTAGGTGAGACGCTACATGATCGTACTTTATTTAGTACAGATTCATGTTCGTTTTACATTGTTTTACACCACCATCTACCATACCCATTTCTCGACCTTATTTTGCTGACAAACCATTTTACATCTTGAAATTTATCAATGCACCGATTATATAGACATCTTAAACTCACCTAAGGGGAAAAGGCGCCAAACACAAATTATTTTGGACAAACTTTGCCTTGTATAGGGCGTATATTTATTCCTAAGCATATGTTAATTAGTTTTTTTTTACCAAAGTGTAGGGCATCCCCAAAGTCATGAGATAATGAGAAATGCTCATCACCCCATTTCTTTGTTTCGTTTCTGATATTCACATTATTAAGAAGAAAACTTAGTGAGTTAAAGACAAATTTCACTAGATAATGATTTGTAACGTTTCGTGAAAGTTCTAAACTTACAGTAATTATCGAGCAGCAGTCACTTTTTTCTTTGTTTGTTTAGGAACCAAAGTTATATAAATTTCCTTTCTTTGTATAATCGGCCGTCAAGGCCTTAGAGTTGATAGATTTGTCAAATCTTTATTGGGTTAACACCTGTTTTAAAGAATTACCAGAGGGTATGGGAGATCTTTCGAGTTTATGAGTACACCTACATCAGAGAGTACTGTACTCGTATTGAAACTGAGTTGCCATTAGCTAAAAGGCTTTGTAACACTGAAAAAGCTAGGAAGGAAAATAGATACAGCACAGAGCGCCCTCTATGGTACACTCATTACATCTCGAGGTTATACCTCAGCTGTGGCACGCTAGTTGTGGAATGTTACGTTACAAATTCCTGTGCGTGACGTATTACAGAAGTTTCAAGCGGAATTAGGACACTGCGTAGGTCGCCAAATTCAGATTATTTTTTACGTCGTATACCTAAAACATCTTACATAAGTAAGCATGGGAACATTTTGTTTAATAACAACAATGCATTCTCAACTCACTTTGTAAAATATGCACGAGCACACAATTAAGGTTTTGAAGATGATTGTTTGAAATTACTCATTCAACTCTTGTTGTTTCCAAATGTCCTAAGGCTTAATCAATAGTATTGGTTTCAATTATACATTTTAGTACAGTAAAGCTTTATTTGGGTTTATAATATTAAACAGGTGAATGAATTTTGATTATTTTTATATTTTACTTTATTCTTAAACTTGTTTTTAGTGAAAATATTAACATATTTAATTGCGATTTTATAACCTATGAGGCAAAAACATACAATTAAACAAACATAAAATATAAGCGTTTGAGGCTGATAATGTGTTTTGATGTAAACGATGAAATGTATATTTAGTTATATGACATTATAGTTGTTTTGTAAAGTAGTTTCTTTGTTGTTGTTGTTAGTTTCACTTGGGATAAAATGTAATGTGGAATTGTGAAAAGGAAAGTATTTCGTAATGAATTTGGCCAGGTGGTTAGGGGGCGCTCGACTCGCAATCTGCGGGTTCGAATCCCCGTCACACCAAACATGCTCGCCCTTTCAGCCGTGGGGACGTTACAAAGTGACGGTCAATCCCACTATTCGTTGGTAAAAGAGTAGCCCAAGAGTTGGCGGTGGGTGGTGATGACTAGCTGCCTTCCCTCTAGTCTTACGCTGCTAAATTAGGGACGACTAGCGCAGATAGCCCTCGTGTAGCTTTGCGCGAAATTCATACCAAACAAACCTAATGAATTCTCCAAGCGAGCGAGCGTGGAATCTATGATTTCTATTCGTGTAAGAAAAGTTAATTAAATAGATTTATTTATGGGATATTTTGCTGCACGTTAGTTTCAGAAGATGAAACTAGTTTTGAATATAATTGAAAGAGAATGCCATTAAACACAGGAAATTAAGTGTAAAGATAATAAATATGTATGGCTTTGTACACTTATCGTTAGACTATTTAGAATAGAAGATAGCGTATACTGTTTCAGTTTGGTATATCCCAATAGAAGATAGCGTATACTGTTTCAGTTTGGTATATCCCAATAGAAGATAGCGTATACTGTTTCAGTTTGGTATATCCCAATAGAAGATAGCGTATACTGTTTCAGTTTGGTATATCCCAATAGAAGATAGCGTATACTGTTTCAGTTTGGTATATCCCAATAGAAGATAGCGTATACTGTTTCAGTTTGGTATATCCCAATAGAAGATAGCGTATACTGTTTCAGTTTGGTATATCCCCATGTGTATGTTCAGGAGACTAATGTGTAGATTCAGGATACTGACAAATCATCACAGCCATGTTTTCATGGGACTGACCAATCATTACAGGACTTTTATCATGACAGAAAGTGCATGCGTGTTGAGACTGGTTGATAGTGACGTTCTTTCCAGACTATCCATCCATTCAAGAACAGTTTTCGTGCCCGGACAGTTATCGAGGATACATGAATGACCGAAATAAATAAATGGTTCTAAAGAGCCATCAAGTAAACGAGTTGTTTCATCAGGAAAGCTTGAGACGGCAATGGGAAGTCTATCAATGTCTTGGTTTACAGCGCGACTGCAAAGTCGGAAGATGTACGTGACTACGGGACCTTTTAAAGTGCGACTTACGTGTTGTTGATAAGCTGAGAAATTATGATGTTTTTATTCAGTAAGGACATTCCTTTCTGTCAACACCTTTAGGTACTCCACAGCTTTTAAGTAGAATAAATTATGGAACATACATACACAGTTTTGTGAAAAGAATTGTACCAAGGTCACATAAGATTAATGGGGTGTTCTTAGAAGTACTGACCTACCGCACCGATATAAAGAAAAACAAAATTATAAGATGGGTGCTGCCATCTGTTGATAAATCTGTAAAATTGTTAACAAGTCGTGCTATTAATCGCTGCCCCTCCCGGTAGCTCAGCGGAACGCTAAAAATCGGGTTTCGATACATGCCGTGGGCAGAGATAAAGGGCCTGGAGGTTAGTGCAGTCAACTCGCAATCTGCGGATTGTGTGTTTGATTCCCATTACCGAACATGCTCGGCCTTTCAGCCGTTATTATGTGACGGTAAACCCCACTATTCGTTAGTAAAGAGTTGGCGGTGTGGGAAGTTGATTAGCTACCTTCTTTCTAGTCCATTATTTTTAAATTAGGAACGACTAGTGCAAATAACCAACCCTCTAATAGCTTTGCGCGAAATTCAACAACAATCAACCAATTAGTTGCTAATCCAGTTTTTCATTTTTTTGTTATCATTATATATATTTTTTTGGCTTTAGGACAAGCGACCTTAAAGTTGATCAGATTTATGCCATGCTCCAAGGAGGGCTTCGTTCCACTTCTTATGCTGGTGTTTAAAGGTGAATTTTAACTAACCCGTAGGCTGTATCTGATTTTCTGGCGTCCTATCTGATGTCACAAATTACGAAACTACACACCAAGCAATATACTACGTCTAAAGTATAAGAGCAAAGTCATCTCGTTAATAGAACGTTAACAAACAGTCTTGTATTACTTCCTGACTGACCAACCGGGACAGAATCTAGCAAACAATAAGACTTGAACCTATATTAACCCACTTATTCTCAGAAGTAGTAAAGTGGGAGTAATTAATCGATCATCTTTGATCTCCTGTCTGTTAGAAGTGTGACACAGCTTGAGCAGTGATTTCTAGTGACAATTGATTTAATGTTTGTGTGCTGCTGTGAAAGCATATCAAAGTCAGTAGCGTGTATTTTAATGGGAGCTCGTGTAAATTAATGATAAAGATATTCTTACGCGTATTACGTATCTTCAGGTATTATGTGTTTTTAATCCGAACGCTATTTCCAAAATAAATAGTGTTGGACATATAAGACAGATAAAACTAGGGTACAAACTACAATGTGGGAAAGGTAATTTGTACCCTGGGGGAGAAGGACTCCCACGACGGCGGGGACACACCGTCTAATCATAATTAACCTCTATTCGTCAGCCGAGGACTTAAAAATTAAGCGAAGATATGGGTACCCAAGCCCACAACGACCAACATTTAAAACTACCATTCACCGCCTGCAAGCAGACGCGGGAAGATGGTTACTGCTAGTAAAACAGATGCCGTTTCTTAAGGGTAAAATTACTAACCTCCAGTAGAAGGAGTGGTCAGTGATGAAGTTGGGGTGGCTTCTTTTTTCGTTGACTTCTAGGAACGTAGCCCCTTTAGGCGATGGAATTGTTTCGTGCAGTGACCCTAACTTTCTTGGCTTCTATAGTTCTATTTTCGTAACAACGCCATGTTGAAAGGTTATACTGTAAAATACAGACTATCTGTCACAGCACCTTAAATAAAAACCTGTGGAGCCTCAAATAGTGTTCAAATATGTTTATTTGTTTCTACCTGTATTTGCTCGTATAATAAAATTATAAAACTTGTCTGAGACACAAGCAAGTTATTATTTATTTATTGCTATCCTTTAGCTTTGCAGTAACTTTCACTTACAAATGCAGGTTTGAACAAAATTAACCAACAGTATGCATAGTAATAGCATAGGTGAAAAGTAACTTCTAAACATAAGTGAACTAATATTGTAATTAAATCAAAAATAATTAACAAGTGTGTATAAATAAAGACAACAGGTGTAATTAATCAAATACATTAAACTTAGGATAAGTTACTACCATATCATTT